TTTTCACCCAGCCCTCCAACTCCCCTCCCATCTGGCAACTGTCAAAATGTTCCCTGCCTCTGTGAGTCTGTTTCTGTTCCACTGATCCATTTGTTTTTCAGTTTTTAACTTCAGTTGTTGATAGATATGTATTTATTGCCATTTTAGTGTTCATATTTTTTATCTTGTTTTTTCATCTTCTTCTTCAAGAAGATCCCTTTCACATTTCATATACTGCTGGCTTGGTATTATGAAGAAAGGCCATCATTTAGAGTTGAAGGACAGAAAGAGAGCTTCCCAGACAAGCAGCAGCTAAAGGAGCCTCTCACCTGTTCGCTACACCTGTTCGCAACATCACGCTGTGGCTTTGCAGGTGGACATGAAACGGCCCCTCCCCCGCGCCCGCTCGCTCCCTTTTGCTGCGGTGAAATATTCATATGTGAAACACTTCTGAAGCGAGAGAAATCAAAGGCAACTGTGGCAAACAAATTAATGCCATCCTTCCACTTCCTCCCCGAAGCCCTCCCACCACCAGGGTGCGAGGAGGGGGAAGGCCGCTGGGTTTTGAAGCTTTGGGGGCATTTCTGAGTGGGAACGCATGTGGTCTACCAGTCGCCTTTGTCTGCCTTCCAGGGTCCATGGCTCTCCTGTCCATTAAGGGCTGAGAGTGCTCACTTTTAATACATGTATGAAGCCACTTTCACAGCCGCCCCATCGTCTTGCCTCAACCCCTGGCTAACTACTCCATAAATCCCCTTGCTGACTGGGACTAAGAACACCGTGGACAGAGCCACCTTCGCCTCTGGTGAGGCGTCCTTTCCTTGCGTCCCAGCGGTGTAAGCTATGAGTAGAGTGGCCGTCCACCCTGGTTATGCCTGCCCTGTGGTCCCAGCATGACTGGACGGAGCCCCTCACTCTGCCAGCATCCTGCATTCAGCCGCAAATCTACGATCGCCCTCGCCGTCAGCATCCACGCCGAGGCACCCGGCAGGGGCCTTCTTAGCCAATCTCAGACAGGCTGAGTGATGACTGTGTGTGTTTCTCTTTGGTGCCACACGAGAAAACAGATGATCTCACTGAGTACACAGATCATAGGAAAAAAGCCACAGACAGTTAGTGGTCCCCTGTGGGTCATCATTCATCTCAGTGTAGTGCGAACACTCACGACGGCGTCTCACGCCGTCCAGAGAGTGATTGATGCAGCAGGGCTTTGCCTTGTGGGATTACAGCACGGGGGGAAGCTGGGAGTGGGGGAGCCCAAGTGATCATTACCCCACTTCTCTCTTCCTTCACACCAACCTCAGTCAGACCCCCTCACCTGTGAGAGGCTGCAGTTTCTCTGTTACACCTTTCAGGTGGCCCTAGAGCATGAGGGGCGGGGGAATGGAGAGAGTTTTGTTTGATCTTCAAGCCAAACAGTCCACAGCTTAGTTACATCATTTCACTATCTATGTGCTCAGGCATTTCTAATGGACTAGCTTATCTTCACTTTTGCAGCCTGAATGCAGGCGGGGGAAGAGGAGCAACTTAAAAGCAAACGTATTTAATTTTAAAACGTCTTCTTGAGTTCAAACAATTAAGATTAGAAAATATTTTAGAAGATGAGTCAAATCAGAACGATGAACTCAATCAGAAATATCCTTATTGAACTAACATGATGCTATTAATTCAAGTGATAACAGTCGTTTGTACTGGGTTTTCCCTGAATGTGCATAACCTGCGTTTGCGGATTCATTTTCGTTCTGGTGGTTGGTTGTAGTTCAGATGGAATCGAACTTCATTCCCGGGACTGGGGATTGCCCAAGAGCTCAGGGACTCGGTGAAAGGCTGGTCTTTCTCCTTCTTACTTCTGGTGCTAAACCACGCACCCGCCCCACTGTGCCCGTGATAATCCTTATATTTAATTTCCACACAACCACTTCCCAAAGGCATTTGCATGGATAGCCCACTTCACTGAAGATTTGGGGGAGCAAGAGAGGAATTTACGTCACAGATAAAGCACATTAAAGTTGGATGCTGAGCGGATGTGCTCTTCAGAAGCCCTGGGCAGCCCTGGCCATGTGTCCGGTGGGTTGTCATGCCATGTACCAAAAGGTCGCCCTTTCCATTCCCAGTCTGGGCACATACCCAGGTTGCAGGTTTGATCCCCGGTTGGGTGCTTACAGGAGGCAGCTGATCAATGTTTCTCTCTGTCTCTCTCTCCTTCCTCCTCTCTCTAAAATCAATAAAAACATATTTTAAAAAAAAGAAGTTCTAGGCAATGCTGGAACTGACCTCAAACTTCTCACATGTCAACTGACGCTCCTTTCTCTCTTTTTTCTTCCTCCTTTTTGGGGCTTTCTCTCTCTTTTCTCTGTATAAAATCAACCTTTCCCTATCTTCTCTTTTTATTTAATTTTTAATGCAACACAATGAAGCTCTCACCAGCTCTAAGAACCGAAATAAAGTTTGACGGCTCCTCTTCCAAGGAATTCGTCTAATTGAATTGACGCCTTGTGAGGTCCCATGTGCCCCAGTTTTTAGACAATGGCACCTCATCTGTCTGGGGGTGAGCATGGCTGTGGGGGAGGAGTGTGCCCTGGGTCCCCTCTGTGGAGGAAAGGGCAAAACCATGCCCAGCCAGGGTTTGAGTTCTGACTTCTCTGTCACCTACGGTCTGTTACTTAACTTTCCTGAGCCTGTTTTCTTACCACTGAAGTGGGGGATAATTGTACTTTTTTGCAAGTTGTAGACAGGATAAAACTGAATAACACACAAGTTGTGCAAAGGATAAAATGCAAGAGCACTTCTATAGTACCTGGCTCAGTGCAAACACTCAACAAATGTTCGTTTGCTTCCCTTTCCACTGATAAACACTTTCCTCGGAGGTTACATATGTAAACATTAAATATTTATAAATTGCATAATTCAGGGGGGAAAAAAACAAAACTTGAAAAGGAATCTTATTCGAGATTTTTTGATGAAACAAGTAATCATCTCTGCTTGTCTTCGCTGCAAATCTGTATTTTTTATATGCAGCACAGGGTCTGCTTCTGATGTTTGTATGCAATACTCAGCACAGGGGGACTTGACTGAAACCCAGCTCTCTGTGCAGCTTCATGGAAGTTGTAAATATTAGGCATTGATGGTGTGATTTGAGGTCACCTAAGTGACTGAGGCCTGGAGCTGTTCCTGAGGTATAATTTCCAGGTGGGCCCATCAGAGCTGAATAGATAATGAGGAGATAAACACTAGTTAAGGCCTGTGGGTTGGTCTGATAGCACTCACAGCATAGTGAAAATGGGTATTTCACTAGAAGAAAGGACTCACCATCTGTCTTTTCTCTAAAGCAGAGCGGAGCAGAGCCCCTGATGAATAAATGATTGTTGTCAATTAGGCCAATTTAAACCATCAGCAAAGACAGCCTGTCCGCATTCCATTGCAGCCGGATTTTAAATTCTGGGGTGCCAGGGTTTACGTTAGAAAACAGTGGCCAGCACAGTATGCCATGTTCTTAGAGGCAGGAAAGAATCGACTAAAGACTTAAACAAAAGAGAATGTTTTCTATTGTCCAGTCCGTTGTCTAGGGCTCTGCCAGATCCAGCCGGCAGCCGGTTTATTTTTACAACACAGGAACTGAGAATGATCTTTGCATATTTAAAGGGCTGTGAAACGAAAAGAAAAATATGCAACAGAAACCATACGTGCCCCACAAAGCCTGAAATATTTATTATCTATTGCTTTATGGAAAAAGGTTGCTGATCCCTGGTCTAGTGAGTTTGAAATAGCTCAGATTCATGAAAGCAACAGAATGAGGATAATTGACTTTTTCACTTGTAATCTGATTTGTGGCAACTATGTCTGTTTCAACAAAACTTAAAGGGCATTATTCAGGATAAACAGAATCACATTTCAACATTTAATTGTGTCTTGTTAGCTTCACCCGGGGTTATTCCAGGGAACAGAGTCTCTAGTTGTTCTAGAAGTTCCTCTGAGAGTCCCACCTGCCCCTTCTTCACCACAGCTCACCTGTTTACTCTTCCCCCCTCTCCTCTGGCCTGCAAGTAGCTGGCCGGGCCCAGCTCCGAAGGGCTGTGGAGAGATTTTTACCTTATTCTGCACATGGCTCCCGAAAGAAGCCGGCCTGGGCTAGACCCTGAAGTATGGGCACGTTAGGGGAGGACGCGAGCAAAGGCCCAGAAGTGTGAGGGACCGTCTCATGTCATGTCCTGCCCGGGCTAGAGGCTTTAGTAGTATGAGACGAGGGTGAATCATCAACATGGCCAATTTATTGGGAACGTTAAGGTGTATGAAATTCCAGATCCAGTAGTCAGCAAGGAGTCACGGTGGTTTATTTTTCCAAAGAGCAACATGTGTCTGTGTGTTGGGGGGGGCAGTGAAATGACAATCCTGACATTGGCTGTTAGTGAAACCCTCAGTGTGTGGGGGGCATTGAGCTGAGTGCATTACATGGACCATCCCCTCTAATCCTCACAAGTTAGTGGGGAGAAGGCATTGTCATCCCCAGTTTCTGAAGGAGGAGATGGAGACTTAGAAAAGTTGGAATAATTTGTCCAAGGTTCTGAAGTCAAAACTTCAGAGCCAGGGTAGTCTGACCTGGGAACCCAAGCTCTTGCCTCCTATACTCCTGCAACAAGCTCTGTGTCAGACTTGCTAACAAAACAAAGAGCCGAAGGCAACTGAAACCTATCTTCCCAGAATGACCCATTTGGGTGACAATCCTCTAGACATCTTTCTAGCAATACGCACGGCAACATGTGTGCAAGTCGTACGACCCAGGGCTGGGCGGCATCAACCGTGCCTGCAGATTGCACATAAATGGCACCATGCTGTATACCCTCGTCCCCTCCCCCTTCCAATTCATGTTCTACTTTAGTTAGTGGGTGTGTAGCGTTTCACTCTGTGTTTCACCCTCATTCACGTGGCCAGTCTTCTGTAGGTCACCGCAGGTTCTTGAGCGGGGAAATTACTATTTTTTAACCTTTTTAACCGAGTCTCATGCTTTCTCACTCTCTTTGCAGCATGCCCTTGACGCTGACAACGCAGGAGTAAGTCCAATCGGAAACTCCTCCAACAACAGCAGTCACTGGGACCTCGGAAGTGCCTTTTTCTTTGCTGGAACTGTCATCACCACCATAGGTATCCGTTTGCTTGCTAATGTCTCTTCCTCTGCAGGCCGTCCCGAGGCATGGCGCTTGCCAAACTTTTGTCCTCACGGAATACATGGCAGCTGGAGGTTGTGAGGAGGCTTGCGTAACACTGTCACATTCAGGCGGTGGCTGTAGTGGCTTTCAAGAAAAGGTGAAGAGGAATGAAGAACTTCACCTGGCCAGGTAGCTCAGGTGGTTAGAGCATCATCTGAATATGCCAGGGTTGCAGGTTCAATGCCGGTCAGGGTCTCTCTCTCTCTTTTTAAAAATCAATATTTTTTTTAAAGTTCAGTAAATGGCTTCTGTTGCCATATCCTGAATCATAACACACACACACACACACACACACACACACACAGTGAAAGACTCGGGAGCCTTTAGTTTGAAGGACCTCATGAAAAGGTCAGAGTGAAAAAGGAAAATATGAATTGGTCAGTTGAGCTCAGACTGCTCCGTTGCACTCAAATTCCTTTTTAAAAAGTGTACTTCCTATTAAAGGTATACATGAAAGATCCATGTCAATATTCTAGAAAGTTTGTCTATGAAACACAGCAGTTTTTTCACCTCCCCAGGGCAATCGGTCTATTCTCCTTCAGTTGGGCATTCTGATATTCATCTCCGTGACTCTCAACATCACACTTGGGTAGCCACTTCCTGAATTTTCCGGTGTAGGAGTGATGTCTTGACTTCCTGTGGTGGAAGGAGAGGGATTCGTTCTCTTTCCGCTGGAAAGGGGCTCTCTTCCCATCCCCGTCCTCCCTCTGTGGTTCGATCCGCTCAAGTGTGAGCATGGGCATCTCGTGGATGAGGTAAATGCTCCTCACTGCTGATCATATGGCGATCCATAATTACTTCTTTCCTGCAGCAGTTTTTGTCTTATGTCATTGTGCTTGTCTTATTTCTGATACAGGGGGAGTTTTGTATTTTTATCTTAGGGGTTAACTTTATAAAAGTATATAACAATTTGGTGTTCTAGTCTTTAAGCAGTGTCTGTTACTTCCCCATTGTGGATGATGACATCTCCCTCTTAGCACCATCCTTTTAATGTTTACTTTTAAATTATTAAATATACTTCTGCCCTCGCTGGTTTGGCTCAGCAGTAGAGCATCGGTCTGCGGTCCGGAGAGGCCCGGGTTCGGTTCCCGCTAAGGGCACGTACCTCGGTTGCAGTTTGTCCCCTGCCCTGGTTGGTTGTGCGGGTGGCGACCACTTGATGTGTCCCTTTCACATCGATGTTTCTCTCTCTCTCTGTTCCTCTCTCTCCCTCCCACTCTACCTGAACAAAGAATGGAAAAATGTCCTCGGGTGAGGATGATAAAAAAAAAATAAATAAATAAATATACTTCTGCTCCTATTAGATGATTTGCCCTCTTTAGATAATCATTCTTGGCTCTCAGTTACTGCCTGTAAGGTGAACTTAGCATCCCACCTTCTTTCCCTCTTCGCCATCAAGTATTACTCTTTGTCACATCGGGGTATATGATTGACATTCTGGTCTGTTCTCCTGATACATTTGTTGTAGCCGTAGTTCTCGGTTAAATATTGTCGGTGTTCATCTCGAGTCCCTTTGCCATGGTTTTCCTCCTCCTCCCCCGACTGGCTGCAATTCACCTGCAAGTAGTTCCCTTAAGAATGGCTCATGGGACCAATATTCCCTGAGGTCTTGTGTTGCTCAGAATGGTAGCTTTACCCTTGAACAGCAGTTTGGCTGAAAGCGAAATCCTTGCCTCACATGTTTTTAAGGGTCTTGTAGCTGTTGCTTCACTGTCTTGTGATGTTTATGCTGCTGTGGAGGAACCTCACATCAGCCCAACTTTCTTCCCTTCTGTAAGCGACTTGATCTTTTGCTCAGCCACATAAAAGATTGTGTCTTTATCTTTCCTCTGATAACACTATTAGGTTTTGTTTCTCTGATTTCAAGAAAATTTTCTTGATTGTCATCTCTAAACGTTTTGTCTGTTGTGTGATTTTAGTTCTGTCCTGTGGGGATTCCAACTACTGTATCATTACTCCTTTGTCTGCCTTTTATGTCTGTCATTTCCCTCTATGCCTTTTTAACTCTGAAGATTTGGTTTTCATCTTGGTAATTTTATCTCTCTATTCCTTTTGTGTGTGTGTTCTTCACAGTGCCTAGCCTGCCATCTGTTCCAATTTTATTTTCATTCTGTGATCATTAGTGGATTTTTTCTTCCTATTTCTTCCCTGAATTCCATTAGCTCCCATTTCATCTTTACTTGCTATCTCACTATTTTTTCCTGATTTCTTGCATGTCTGCTCTGTGGTTTCTCTGTTAAGATCCTTCCTTAGAGGTCATCACTTCATAGTTCTTTACAATTTTGCCTGGTTGGGCGACCTTTTTCTTCTGAGTGTCTTTCATCTATTGGTGAGTTTTGCTGTTTTCACATTTTCAATTTAAAATGGAAGCTTAATATTTATGCTGGGCCAGGTGTTTTTTAAAAATACTTGAAACCAAACAAACTGGATCTCTCTGTAACAGCTATCTGCTGAATTTCCCATGGGGCTGGGGAGAGAAGAGCAAGGGGAAGCAGGTAGCTTTTCAGGTAGCACATCCCAAGACTCTCTCCTGCTGCCAAAGAGACAGCAGGCCCGTCTGTGTTCTTCTATATATAGTCCTATCTCGTCTGCTTTTCTGGACCAGATTAAGTTCAGAGGGGTTACCGCTGCCATCCTTCTTCAACCTATATCTATACATGGTGCAAACAAAGATATCTCTTTTGAAGTTCAAGGTGAAACCCTCACCTTCATAAATGGATTTTTGCTGGCACTTTCTGAGATTTGCCACTGATGGGCTCTCTTATCATTTTCTGTATTTCTTCTCTTTGTTTTTGGGGTTTTTTTTTCCTATGTGATGGAATTGCTAGATTATATCCCTTTCCCAGCTCTGCTGAAAATGAGTTTGACAGTTCTCTGCTCCCATACAATAGTGAAGTCACACAGCAATAACACTTCTCGTTCAGAAGAATGGGAGACACACAACAGTCACCAGGCCATAGCAATGGAAGGCAGGCCCCTCTGCCCCTCTGCCCCTCTGCCCCTCTGCCCCTCTGCCCCTCTGCCCCTCTGCCCTTGCAGTGGGAGGATTCCTTCATTAACACCTGCAAGGAGCTCTCTCCTCTGTGCTGTCTGAAGACCGGCTTTGCCATCTGGAAGGCTGCTCTCTCTCCTTCGTACTTCATGACCACAGGTTAAGTGGGTGCTGGAGAGGATGCCTTCCTGGGGGGGGGGTGCATTTCTTATAGTTTTAGAGGCTCAGGGTTGTTTGAGAGGCACAGCTTTTTGTTTTTGTTTTTAGACCTAGCCTTTAGGACCTGCGTTGTGTTTATATCGGGGCAATCAAGAAAGTTATGTGCCACAAGAAAATTTGGAATGAAGGAGAATTGTCATTCCTTTTTAGCAAGACTCTGCATCTCAGACTAGGTTCACATTTGCAAGTCTGCAGAGGTGTTCAGATCAGCTATTACAGGTATGAGAGGCATGCCCTATACTAGTGGGTCCGAGCCTAGAAGGCTTTTTGGACACTCCAGACCAAATAAGGTCATATTAGCCCATAGCCTCACAGCCCCCAACAGAAAAAACATTCTAATTTTTTTTGTTTTATAAAATGGCTAAATCAGTGGTCTCTCTGATGCATTGAAAACTCTAGCTGTATTAGCATGAGTACTGATGGTACTTATGGTGTCAACTCATTAGGAGCCCCGGAGGGGCTTGGTTTATTAAACAACTGTGTTCATTGACCTAGGTGACATTATGCAATTAAGAAGTGATGCTTCTAATGAGAAGCATTTGATATGTAACATTTTTTGCCTTTTTTATATGCTAATTCTAGAATCTTTGGGTTTATGCAAATGACACATAGTCCTTGGTTTCTGATACCTGGCATCCATTTACTTATTCTGATAACCCTTTCCTCAGTGGTCCTTGTCCCCACGTCTCAGGGGAAGAATCACCTTCTCTGGATGAAGAAGTCCATTACCTTGCACATGAGTGGACACAGCCCTTAGTTAAGGGATGAACATGAGATCTGGATTAGCCCAATAAAAATCTCAGTTCTTGGGCTGTTACTTGACCGTAGGAGGAAATAACTTCCTTTCTTACTGGAGGTAAATCTGGAAGAGAGGCCCAGGACCCCACCAGTCATTTCTTCCCTTTGATGAGTTTCTCTGCCTGGAATTCGGCTAATACCAAAGAAGCAGAGTAATAAAAGGGGACTGAAAAATGGGGTCCTGTTCACATCCTTTGAGTTTTGGATGTAGTTATCCATGAAGTGTTAAGAAGTAAATGACACATTTCCCATTTACTGGGCTCAATGCATTTCTCCATAAGCCAGTGTGCATCAGGTTTTCTGTTACCTAATACTGAAAAATTCTAATATACACTTATGGGTCAGAGATCATGGAAGGCCAGTAGGTATTCTTTGACCTTCATGGCCAGTGCCTGACCTTGCTGGACACTGCAGCTGCCATCTCTCACCTCCTTTGGGCCACCTGCTCTAGATTTAAAGTCTTAGGCAGAGCGTCCCATTGGCTGAGCCTCTGGGTTCATGTGCGTGTGTCCTGGCTGCTTGGAAGGTGTTGCCTCTATAGAGGGAGGCAGGATACTGTGTCATACCTAGGCACAGGATAGGGCCCTTTCCCAAAAATCTGAAGGAAGGTGGATGTTGAACAGGAAATGACTCTAAAACAGGCCTGAAACAAAATCAAACCAAAATAAAACCCAACCCAAACCACAAGCGCACTTCAGTGTCAGTGCTAGAGATTAGGTCCTTGTTCTCTTCAACGAAAATAAAAATGCCGTTTTGTCTCTCTTCCTCAACACATTGCAAAATAACGCATTGTACGCTGACCACCATTTAGCTGGCTAAATTTTAACTCCAGAGTGGAGCGTATTTATAAAGTCATACAGTTAGAGAATTTTAAAGGGAACCATCGTACGATGTCAGTCGAATAATGAGGTGAGGAAATAATGGCTTTTCATCATTCATCACATGTGGTAACAAGGCTTAAGAAAACTCAGAATTCATGAATTCTTTTCTTTTTTTTTTCCTTGAGAAACGTTCCACAATTTAGGAGTCAGGCGGTGGAGCTCCCGGAGCTGAGGAGCTGTCTCCATTGTCTGTGAAACGCACAAACATTAGCCTGCGTGCTTGAGTTCATACACCAGGCGACATGATACTGTAAACATGTCCCCATATTACTGAGCTACTGTGGAAAACACTCTTTGATGGGTTCCTCTGGCTCTACTATCCACACTGCTATCTCATAGTGTGGGAGACTGAGGCCGTTTCTTCTTTTAGCATCACGATGAAAACATCTTCATCTCGGGCAGTTTCCTTGAAAAGATCCCCAAGGGATTGTTGTGTCAAAGGTCATGGACCTCTTAGAGGCTCACCAAATTGCTCTCCAGAAAGACTTTCATGAGCAGCGTGAGGTTATATGCTTTTCAGACACACAAAAACGTGTTCGTTGCTTAGAATGAGAATAGAGAGATCTGAGGAATAATGGATTCTTTTCCGAAAGGCAGCGACCCTACACAATATCAGAAGTCCCTTTCATCTGAAGGTATCAAGGGCTGCCTTTTTTGGAAAAGCTTTTCTTGTACTCAGACATACAGAAAGATTTCCAAGCGGATGGCCAAAGGGGATGCATTTAGGCATTTTCCAAAGCAGGAGCCCCGCCACAAGGAAGACTGGAGTCAGCTCCGTCTTTGTTGAGGCCGCCTGGCCCCTATCCCCTTTCTCAGTAACCAGTGCTGACATGCCCCCCGCCCGTGAAAGTGGACTCTGCTGATGGATCCCCAGCAACTAGCTTCTCTAAGCTGGAGGCATAACACGCGCTCTTGTGTGCAGAGACTTTCCCACAGTCCCTTGCAGAAGGGCCACAGGTGACAGCATTCTGACCTACGGCTCTGGAATGCGATTGGAGTTTAGTCTTTGAGGCATTTTTGGGTTGAGTCACCTGACTCCACCCACAGCAGCGAGAGCCCCATGGTCAGCTTCCAGATGGTAGCCAGTAGCCGTGTTACTTGCCTGGCGGCCTCATTTACGAGTTGTACCTGCCAAGGAACCTGGGCAGCTATTTCTAATTAACCAGCACTTGCATTGGAAGTTTAACCCATGATTTTGGAAATAGCAGACATGGTGGCTGACATTCGCTGAGCACTTACTGGGTTCCGGGCACTGTGCTCCCCATGCCTTGTCACAGTCTCTCATTAACCACATGAGGTAGGGACCGTGGATAGCCTCATGTCACCGATGAGAAGACTGAACCTTGGGCACAATCAGTCGCTTTCCCAGAATCTCGCAGTTAGTAAGCAATGGAGCGTCATTCAGCAGGACCAGTGCAAAATGCAAATGTGGTCCCTTGCTAAAAAAAAATGGTTAAGAATGTCAAAATGGCAACAGCAGAGCATGGGGCCCTTCTAAAGGGGGGGGGGGGCTATTTGCACAGCTTGCTTACCCATAAAGCCAGCTCTGTGTGCTCAGGCATTCTGGTTCTAGGGTGCACACTCTTCAGCACACACCAAGGCTGCACAGCACATGGTTTGGCCAGGATGTGACTGGCACGTCAGTAGCAAATAGGTGCATTATATGTGTGCTTCTCAGGCACACGTCCTCTTTAGACATCAACTTTCTCTTCATAAAGGGCTTGGGATAGTTTTTTAGCTGGGGGTGAACAGAGCTAAGCCCCTCCTCCGTCCTTCTCATTCGTGACAGTCTGTCCTCCCTGGGCTGGTCATCTCTTTTGAAAGTCACCAGAAGCCAGTTGATGGAGTAGCTCCCTGAGTATCTTTTGCTTTACTTAAATCCAGTTCCAGTCTTCTGGGCTAGTTCTACCTGACTACTTCTCCAGCAGCTGTGTACCCCTTCTCACTTCCCAGCTTTCGCAGCCCCTAGCTCCACTAAGAGATACCCATACCCCAAATCCAGCCATGGGCCCACCCAGCTCACTGAGCCAGCCAACCTGAGGTAAGTGCTGGCCCTTGTCCTGGCACTGTGGGAGAACAGCAGAGTTTACGGAGTCGGACCAACCACCTGATTTCTCCTGGGGCTTCGTTTTCCTGGAGACATGTTGCTCAGAAGCGATTTCTTCCTGCAGAGAACCTGGGGCACGAAGATAATAATCGCTAACACTTACTGAGCACTTGCTCTGCATCGGGCTTCGCACCTGCGTGTTCCCCTTTAACAGCTGTAAGAGGAGTGCTATTAAACAGCCTCCCCTCTCAGACGAGGGGTGAGGCAGAAAGACTAAGTAGGTTGCCCAAGCTCTGAGAGTTAGGGAGCGGAAGAACCAGAGCAGGAATCCATGTCGCCTCTAGTTCTAGAACCTACGCACAACCCTTACACCTCACTTCCAGGTTCTGCCTAGTGTTCCGGAAGGCTGGGCCAGGCCATCTAACAGTCGAACTGCAGCTGAAAATCCTATTGCCTCTGAGCAAAGTTCCCAAATGTAAGTTCTGGGATTTTCCTAGCTCGACCGTGTTGACAGTCAAGCTGGAGCAGTCATTCCCAATAGTTTATCAGAGGCCGGGGACAAAAATGCACGTGCCCACACCCATGCACAATACACAGCATCTCAGGCGTGCCGATTACTGTGTCTGATATGATGTGACGGCCTTAAATACACTCGAAGACTCATTTAAATATCACTTCACTAGTGCCCTTACCTAAGAACTTTGCTTTCATTTTATTTTTGTGTTCTTGTCTGTGAAACACTGGATAAATAAGGAGCCAATAATGATAATGCTACTTTGCATCGGTGTAGTGCTTCCCACTTCATTGATTTTTTTTTTTCCATGTTGTCCTTGCACCCCTCCAACACTAGGGTTTGGAGCAGCCAAGGGAGGGTCTGTCTTCTTCTCTCTCGTGCTCCTTGATGGCCCTCTGCAGGCCCCTGACCCCGGCAGCCCTGGGGGCAGCTCCTCTCTGAGAGCTGGAGGAGGGTGTGCAGCTCTTGGCAGGGCTCAGAAGATGCCTAGTCAGCAGGTTCAGAGCCTCAGCTTGTTTGCCGGCATCTGCAATATTTCTTTCTGAGTTATTAGACTAAAAGAAAACCTATATTCCCTGACAGTAATCAGGCAATTATGAGACAACCAAGCAAGAGTCATAGGTGTTTCCAGAAGTTACTAGAATGTTTCTGAGAGTCACCACCAACCTGCATAATGGGAAGTGGGGAGGCACATTTGTTCATGTCAACTGGATTGTCCACGTTCCTGAAAGCACCTGAAAAAATTACAAGGGGTTTTTTTACACCATTAAATCCAAATGGTGGTGAGTAAAGGAAATGAGAGATTAGGGAATTTGCCTAAGCACCCATCGATGAAATGGCAGCTGTAATTTAGATAATTTGTGATCAGAGGTTAGAATGATTCTGAGTGGAAAATTGAAAAGGGAAATAGTAAGGTGACTCATTACTCAAGAGCAGAAAGCATTGAATTTTCTACATGCATAGAAGGATGAATGATGAACCCGTCATCAGCATTATTCTTTACTGTGTTGCATCCCCAGCATACTGATAACTATGAACCCAATAACTCACCCACTGATGGATTTAGAAACAGATCTCACAGGAGTTACCCTAATATGGGAGCATGGTTAGGTTATTGTCTCATTAGCATGAAAACAAGTAACAAGTAATTTAGACTCTCATTTCTATACATATTGTGCTAATGCCAAAGCCATTTCCTTCCAACACCACTGTCTTTAGTCCCATCCATCTGGGGTAAGGCCACTATTCACTATACCTAAGTTACTTATGTAATTGCAGAATTCTTAAGAATGCAGATGTTGGGCCCTGGCCAGTTTGGCTCAGCGGTTATAGCGTCGGCCTGCGGTCCAGAGAGACCCGGGTTCGGTTCCCGCTAAAGGCATGTGCTTCGGTTGCAGTTTGTCCCCGGCCCTGGTTGGTCGTGCGGGTGGCAGCCACTCGATGTGTCCCTTCACGTCGATGTTTCTCTCTCTCTCCCTTCCTCTCTCTCCCTCCCACTCTATCTGTACAAAAAATGGAAAAATATCCTCGGGTGAGGATTAAAAAAAAAAAAAAAAAAAGAATGCAGATGTTGGTGTTTTCAAAGGGCTATTTGACACTCATACTAGTAGACCCAGCTGTGAAAGATTCTTTTGTTTTTAAACATCCATCCCACCAACAAACATGTATTTAGCACTTGATAACCCTCGATGCAAGAAGTGAGTGGGAGGGTAGGCTGGACTCAGATGATGCAGGGTTCCCAGTGAAGAGAAAAAGAGCCAGGCAGAACCAAACATCACTGGCAGTGTGATAAAGAGGCCTTCCTTCCCCTACTCTTTACTGTTTGCGGGCTTCCTGGGGTACAGCTGTATGATCCACGGGTCCTATCTGAATGTCTGCTAGATTGCATAGCCTCCTTACTCAGAGCACCCATGGCCCTAGGAAGGCAAATGTGGAAGGCAGACACAGTCTGGCTGGTGGGGGGCTGTCCATGGGATGAGGCTATAAGGAAGGGTTCTTTTCCTATCGAAAATGACAATGGTGAGCCTCTTTCAGGTGCACGGGTGTCCCTAAACCAGACAGGTTCAAGACGTCCAGTGTTTCTGAAATAAGCAGTTCCATTTTTCATTAGAAATGCAATTCTGGGTGACCACAAAATTTCTAAAGTAGAATCTAACTGCATACATGAGAGCCAGGACACCTGGATCTCCTTAGAACTGTTCGCAGTAGAGAAGGAAAGAAAGCACTGGAACAGTGTTCTGAATTTCATGTTATGGGCCTTTGAAATGAAGTTGTACCTCCTAAAGTTCATCAAGTGGGGAGGGGGTGCAGAAACGTTACAAAGGGTCTGTGGAGTCTTGGGGTCCATACTCTAATTTCTCTGCTACCTCACCGCTCTCCCTCTCTCTTTTTAATATTTCTCACCAGGGTATGGGAATATTGCTCCAAGCACTGAAGGAGGCAAAATCTTTTGTATTTTATATGCCATCTTTGGAATTCCACTCTTTGGTTTCTTATTGGCTGGAATTGGAGACCAACTTGGAACCATCTTTGGGAAAAGCATTGCAAGAGTGGAGAAGGTCTTTCGAGTGAGTACTGCCTCTATGTCAACCCTGACCTCTGCGATCTAATTGGCTTTAGCCTGGTGAGATCCAGAAGGTATCATCAGGGTGTTATCATATCATTACTACTTTTAAGGGTCTATTGTTTTGATCGTGTTTTCTGTTTGGCTGATGGTAGTCACCGGTACTGTGCCTAAACCCTTCTCTTCAGTAGTTACCTTCTCTAAAGTGGTACTTCTGGAATCACAACACAGAGGGTTAAGTGTGGATTTGCCAACACAGATTTTCTAAAGATGTGAAGCGTCCTCCATGTTTTCTTAAAGATGAAAGAGGGGTTCCTTAGTGCATTTGCAATAAAGTAGAAAATTATAAATTCATCCATTTTGTTTTGGAAACTTCTTCCTTCTGTTTTATTTGCAAGCACAGTGTCTTCAGGATGATCCTGGATTCTAGGATCTGTCCCAGAGCCTGTCTTTTCTAGACACTGCTTTGTCTTTTGTATTTGTCTCCTCATGGCCCTTTCCTCTTTCTCCTCCCACTGTTGAGTGCTCCCTCAGCAATAGTATGCTGATGTACTAATTCATACTAAAGTGCTGATGACTGCTATTGTGTAAGTAGGGTTTTTTTGTTTTGTTGTGTTTTTTTTTTTTTGGAGTATTACAGATGTCCCCCATTTTCCCCAGTTTGCCTCCTCCACCCATCTCCCACCCCACCCCAGGCCCTCATCTGTCTATTGTCTGTGTCCATGGGCTACGCATATATGCATATAAGTTCTTTGATTAATCTCTTCCTGTCATGCTTCCCACCTTCCTTCTGTCAACTGTCAATCTGTTCCATGCTTCTATGTTTGTGGATCTATTTTATTCATCAGTTTACTTTGTTTCTTAGATTCCAAATATAAGTGAGATCATATGATGTTTCTCTTTCTCTGACTGGCTTATTTCACTTAGCATTATAATCTCCAGGTTCATCCATGCTATCTCAAAGGGCAAAAAGTCCTTCTATTTTACAGCTGCATAGTGTTCCATTGTGTAAGTGTAGCATAGCTTTTTTATCCACTTGTCTACTGATGGGCAGATTTAGCTATTCTAAATAATGCTGCTATGGACATAGGTGCATATTTTCTTTTTGACTGGTGTTTCAGGATTCTTAAGATATAATCCTAAAAGTAGGATCACTGGATCAAATGGCAGTTCCATTTTTTTATATTTTGAGGAACCTTCATACTGTTTTCCATAGTGACTGCACCAGTCTGCATTTCCCCCAGCAGTGTACTAGGATTCCCTTTTCTCCACATCCTCACCAGCCCTTGCTGTTTGTTTGTTTGTTTGTTTGTTTGTTTGTTTGTTTGTTGATGGTAGTTATTCTGACAGGTGTAAGGTGATACTTCATTGTGGTTTCAATTTACATCTCTCTGGTGATTAGTGATGCTGAGCATTTTTTCATATGTCTGTTTCCCATCCGTATGTCCTCTTTGGAGAAGTGTCTATTCAGGTCCTTTGCCCAATTTTTAATTGGATTGTTTGTCTTCCTCTTGTTGAGTTGTATGAGTTCTTTGTATATTTTGGAAATCAACCCCTTATCAGGTTTATCATGGGCAAATATGTTCTCCCATACTGTGAGTTCCCTCTGTATTTTGATGCTGGTTTCTTTTGCTATGCATAAGCTTTTTAGTTTGATGTAGTCCCATTTGTTTATTTTTTTTATTGTTTCTCTTGCCCTAGGAGGTGTATTGGCAAAAATTTTGCTGATTTATTATATCTGAGATTTTACTGCCTATATTTTCTTCTAAGATTTTATGGTTTTCTTCTAAGAAATGTATTTTATACATTTAAGTCTTTCATCCATTTTTAGTTTATTTTTTGTGTATGGTGTAAGTTCGTGTCTAGTTTAATTTTTTTTTTTTTTTTTGCATGTACCTGTCCAATTTTCCCAATACAATTTATTGAAGAGACCGTCTTTACTCCATTGTATGTTCTTGCCTCCTTTATCAAAGATTAATTGACAATAATGGCATGAGTCAATTTTTGGGGTCTCTGTTCTGTTCCATTGATCTATATGCCAGTTCTTGTGCCAATACCAGGCTGATTTGATTACAATGGCTTTGTAGTATAGTTTGACATCCAGTATTGTGATCCCTTCAACTTTATTATTCCTTCACAAGATTGCTGCAGCTATTCTATGTCTTTTTTGGTTCCATATAAATTTTTGTAATATTTTTTCTAGTTCTATGAAATTTGCTGTTGGTATTTTAATAGGAATTGTGTTGAATCTATCAATTGCTTTGAGTAGTATGAACAATTTAATGATGTTAATTATTCCAATCCATGAACATGGTATATTCTGCCACGTGTTTTTATCTTTTTATTTCTTTTTTCAGTGTTCTGTAGTTTTCTGAGTACAGGTCTTTCACCTCCTTGGTTAACTTTATTCTTTGGAATTTTATTTTTTTCGTTGTTGTTGCAATAGTAAATGGTATTATTTTTTTAGTTTCTCTTTCTGAGAGTTCATTATTGGTGTATAAAAATGCCATTGATTTTCAGATGTTAATTTTGTATCCTGCTACCTTGCTGAATTCATTTATTAAATCTAGTTTTTTGATGGAGTTTTTATGGTTTTCTCTGTATAATATTATGTCATCTGTGAATAATGACATTTCTACTTCCTCCTTTTCCATTTGTATGCCTTTTATTTTTTCTTCTTGTCTGGTCACTGTGGCAAGGACTCTTAGTACTATGTTGAACAAGAGTGGTGAAAGCCGACAACCCTGCCTTCTTCCTGTTCTTAAGGAAAACGCTTTTAGTTTTTTCCTATTGAGTATAATGTTGGCTGTTAAGTTTGTTGTTTATGGCCTTTGTTATATTGAGGTATGTTCCCTCTATTTCCACTTTGCTGAGAGTTTTTATCAAACTTGTGTGCTGGATTTTAGCAAATGCCTTTTCTGTATCCATTTATATGATTATGTGATTTTTATCCTTCACTTTATTTATGTAATATATTACATTTATTGATTTTTTAATATTGTACCAGCCTTGCATCCCCAGTTGGTCGTGATATATGATCTTTGTAATGAATTACTGGATCCAATTTGCTAATATTTTGTTGAGGATTTTAGCATCTATGTTCATCAGGGATATTGACCTGTAATTTTTTTCTTTGTAATGTCTTTATCTGGTTTGGGGATTAGGATAATGCTGTCCTCCTAAAAAGAGCTTGTGAGTCTTCCCTCCTCTTGACTTCTTTGGAAGAGTTTGAGAAGAATAGGTGTTAATTCTTCTTTGAATGTTTGGTAAAACTCGCCTGTAAATCCAACCAGTTAAGGACTTTTGTTTGCTGAGAATTTTTTTATTACAGCTTCCATTTCATTAGTTGTTATCAGTGGATTTCTCCTCTTAAAAATGCTTACCTTTAAACAAGGGACAAAAATCTCAACTCAGGCCATTTCTTTACTGAAGATGGCATTCCTGGCATCAGGGACAGGCATTGAAGCCACTGTGACTGGAGTGGTGTTTCTGGGGCCTTTGAACTCACACTCATTCATATGATCTAGCAGAATACTTGTTTTGCTTTGGTGTAAGGTCATTTCTTCTCTTTTTCTCATTATTAGCCGAATTCTTGACTGTTTCAAACCTTCTTTATGGAATTTTTTTCAAGATGACTTACTATTTAAAAGGATACTTGGAGATCTTTTTCAGAATCTAGTAATGACGGGAAAGATAGATCAGCGAGTGGCAAGCTCTAAATCTGAACTTGTTTTTCCCTCTGAGACAAGACATGATGACTTCAGCTTTTCTTTAGAAGAATGCAAGGGAGTTCCCCAGTTCAGTTTTCAGAGCAGTTTCAGCTTGTCAGACTGGATGAATAGGGCCCTATGGCGGGCTCAGAGCCTCCTTTTATAAGCTCAGTGATCCTGGGTGAGCCAATTCAATTTAGTCCTCCTGGAAAAAAGGGATAAAATTCCAATCTACTTTATAATGTTTTGGTAATGATTAAGCAAAATAATTTATGGAAAAGAGGCTGGCATGGGGCCAGACACATAGAGTTCAGAGCTACTGTGTGTCTGTCTCCTGAACAAAGTGTTTGGTGGCAGGCTAGCCCCATTCAGATGTCATCCAAGCAGCTCGGTGGCATGTGGTTGTTTCCTGGAATGTCTCACAACCTTTGCTCCCTAAGTGCTGGTCAGTCCACCAGCCTCATTAGAGCATGCACCTGGGCTCAGTGGTCACCATGGGAACTGCCAGAGTCCAACTCCTCTGCTTCTGAGAAGTTCAGGTCTTTCTAAACCAGACTGGGGAACCCTATCTCCAAGAGCTGTTCTCGGGGGATCCCTTTTAGCCCTCTGAGCTAAAGAACAATAAATCTGGTAGAGCAAACATCTCAGAAGAACAGGAGTTGAATGGAGATCAGGCATTTTTATATTTAGGTAGCTTATTTAGATTGCAGTGTCTTTATTTGTAGAAAGAAATTATTGGACTACATGCTTTTGAAATTTTTCTTTATAAAAAAATGAGCAACTATATTCTGAACAAGGAAAGAAGCTGCACTCATTTGATGACATTTGCTACCAAATTTGAGGACTTAGTTTCCCCTAATGTATTTTGAACCTCAAGTACAGTACTGTTCTCCTTCCCCTAAAAGCTGCCTCTCAATGGATCATTCAACCAGCTCTGGAACAGAGCCTTAAAAATCTCACATTTCATTATGCTGATGGCCTACTCAGTTCCTTACATACTCCATCGAAGACTAGGAGTCTTCCAGGAAGCTAACAGTATATCATGGAACTGGAAGTACATGAAGTAGGTATTCGAAGCTTGGTGGAGGGTGCTTTTGGAAGAGATGATGAGTTCCGGTAACCATGTAAGCGCACTTCTTGGAGGTACAAACAGCAGTCTGGCTTGCTGCACATAGCCTTGGTAGAAAATCTCCAAGCTCCTTGCCATTCATTGAAACTACATCTAAAATGCCTGTTGCTGCCTGGCCAGTGTGGCTCAGTGGTTGAGCATCAACCCATGCACCAAGAGGTCGCT